AGCGGGATGGCAGTAGGATTTGTGCCCCACTCACCTGGGCAGGTGTCCTGGGCATCACAAATAGTTGCTGTTAGGCTGAGTAGGGCCAGGAGGGTTGGTGCTCTCCTCCCCACGGCCGGCACTGCTCTCCGCTCTCTGCGCAGCTCCCCTCACCACGTCCCAGGCGCTGTGGTTAGCATTGACCCATCTAAGCCTTTTATACCTAACAAAAACCCCCAGTGTAAGCTCCACCTCTGCGCTTGCCCACTGCCTGCTCTCAGGTTGGGGACTCTGGCTGGATCTCAAGCTGTTTCCCAGATAAGCCACTTTCCACAAGTCTGATGGGAAAGTTCTTGCCCGGCTGCCCCAGCCTGCCTTGCCTCCATCCTCTGCAAACTTGGGATGCCTTTCCCCTCCCATATTGTATTTCTAGAGGAAATGAACCAACAAAAGCATAGGTTTAGCTAAGTGCAGACAGCTCCCCTCATCCTGCCTGCTAGTGGCCCTTTACAAAGAGCAGAGCTTGCTGTGTAGATGGGAAAACTGAGGCACTGGGAGTCGAAAAGCCCAAGGTCAGCTGAGGCCACTGGCAGAAAGAAGCTGCACAGCCTGGGTCATGCTCCAATGCTCTTGCCTTCCAGGCAGCCCAGCATCACTTTGCAACCCTTCAAACAGAGGTTTCAGTTTATACGTGATCCATGACTGATATGGAGTTAAAACTCTGTGTATCCAGAGGTTAGGCAGGCAGAGCATGTCTGATCTTTTTTTCCCCACCTGTTTTTTTCTCTAGTCCTTGTTCATTGCAATAGTGAGCAGGATTTCCGTTTTGCTTTGCTGTTGCTGTGCCCTGTGCTCTGCTCATTTGTGGCAGCATTACTAGAGGTCCAAACTGACTTATCAAGTTTGACTCCCATGTTGCCTTCAGACACAGAGCCTATAAATTTTATGAATTTTAGCAGAGGGAAGAATTTAAATTTTTTCTCCTTATTGTTGCATTCTAGTTCAGAGTAGACTGTGTTTTCTTGGAGCCTTTCCCAGCTATCAGGATATCAGAGGCAGAACATAGCTCCCCCTCAAGCACTCAATTCTATCATGAGGTCCCTCCAACATCCCAAATTCCAATGATATATGACAGCCTACTTTAACGTTAAGCAAATGGGAGAAGGCAGGGGAGAGATAAGTATTTGGTTGTCACCTAAGTTCTGTGTCCCCCAAATAGCCCATACATACAGACACTCATATACGCATTCTTACACATGTTAATATATGCATGCATATAAAATAATAATCCAGTAGATGTTGTGATTATTGTCGTTCCTGAGAACCAATTCTGGCACGGAAATGCACACCTTACTTTCCTGCCCCCATCTGATAGAAGTGCAGGGAAGTCAGAGGGATTGTGATCAGACTGGTTGCATTCAAGTTTTGGTTTTGCTTTACACGGGAAAAAGTATCATCTCATCTGTGGCAAGCGCTGTGCATGCAACTCTTGGGGCAAAATGAGAGCAGCTTCTTTCTTCAGCCCTTCAGAAGGAAAAAGAAAAAGGATGAGCAGGTGCCTCTGAGCTGCTAGGGAGGGAGAGGTCTATGCAGGGCAGCTATCGGGTGACTGGGGACTTATGCACCCCTCTTCTCTCATCTGTACAGCCTGTGCTGCCCATCTGGGATGGACTTGTGTCTGCTCCATGGGGCAGGTGGAGATGAAGAAGAGCCAGCCCCTAGCACTGAGAAGCCTTCTCCTGCCCAGTGCCTTATATCCCGTGCTCTGTGGCTGGAAATGTCTGCAATACCTTGTTCCAACTATCTGGAGGCAAAAGCTGCTGCCCTCAGCTGTTTCCCTTGGTAAATCACTCCAAAAAGCTGGAGTGATTTACTGGCCTTGCAAATTACCCCATCATTACAGTCTCTCAAGGGCTTCAGGCTAGATCTGTCCTGCCAAAAAAACCCAGTAAGAATGGGTTTGCCCAGCTTTTCCCAGTTGCTCCATTAGCAGGGTGGCCAGCTCTGGTTTGGGCTGAGAACGCATGTTGTGGAGGCAGCTGTGATACATCCCCTTAGGTGTTACCAGCTGTGGGCTCCATCCAGCCTGGGGGACACCTGGAGATGTCACCTCGCTTCCATTGGAGGAGAGCAGCGGTGTCCTTGTGGATGCAGATACTTTTGGAAGCAGGGGGAAAACTGCCAATAAACAAGTTTAGTCCAAAGTAGGTCAGGCCCCCGAGGGTAGATTTTGAAATTGGACCAGTGATCAATATGTCATTAATTGCTTTTCCTCATCCTAGGATCCAGTGAAGATTGCAGAGGGACAATCATTTACACCATCAGCAATTCTTTTTTCTATGTAGATTCTCCCTTGAGCCCTGGGAAATGTCTCCTGTGAGTCTCGAAAGTCCAGATCACTTTGGGGATGAGAAAACAAGAATTTTAAGCACACTGGGTGAATGGGGAGCACCTCTGAACACTGTGACCCATCACTTCACCTCTGGAGCCATAAATGCCAAGAGTAAATTCCCCAAAATTGAACTGATCTGCAAATCCCCAAGAAATTAAGCTTATCAAACCAGAAGGCACAACCAGATGACCAAATAGCTTCAAAAAGTTCATGTGGGACCGTCATAACTGTGTGCAACAGGGGATTTAGCACTGATTAATGCAAAATTGCAGGTGAAATCCTAGCTCCTGGTGGGGTCCTGGGGCTTTGCTGCCACCAGGATGCTAGAGCTTTGCAGAGAGGATGGGGAAAGCTGCAAGAGCTGTAAGTACATAAAACAACAAGCAGCAAGCCCCACTCATTGCATTCTTCTGCTTTGTGCTAACCTAAGGACATTGCCATGCAAATCCTAAGGCTGCAAGAAGGGCAGACAGTTGGCTCTGGGGAGCTGGGAGGTAAACTCTGAGAGATCTGATATTAAGCGATGTGAAATAAGAGCTTCCTTGAGAGTTGGCACTCTTGCAGGTGCTCAAGGGGAGCTTCCATGCCCTTTGGAGACTTGCCTTGCTGGGAAAGGAGTGATGTCAACCTGCAAGGGTAGGTTATCATCCAAAGCAGCAAGGAAAGAAGTTCTTCTGGCTTAGCCTTCTGTGGACTGTGCTATTTATAGCTCTTCACTACATGCGAATGACAAAGTTTTCAGGGTTTTTTTTTATGAACGCTTACATTTGCAAGGGAGAATTTCTTCAGCCCAGTCTTAGTATCTGTGGTGGGGATATTTGCCCAAGCTCAGATAGCAGTTTTTTCAAAAGATGTCCCTTGGTTTTCCCTTTTTGCTTCTGGGTTTTGTGACCATATGGCGTCTTCGAGTGCCCGAGCCCCTCAGTGCTAAGAGCCCTGCTGCACATTTCCCTTGTTGTTACTACAAAACCAGTTCCAAGGAGTTCCTGAGGCTCCAAAAAGGCATAGGTAACTGGCAGAGTTTCTAAAGACTGCTGGTTTCACTGGTCTTGACTGGTGCCCACAGACCCTTCCTGCTGCGCAGAGGAAAGCCAACCTTTCTCGTAGCTGGTGCTGGCTGTAGCACGTCTTAGCACTGGGCAGCCAGGCAGTGCAGTGAATTATGAACACAGGGCACCCACTTTGAACCTGCATCCAAGGGCTCCTTCCCCACATTTCCATACACTGATTTTGGGGCACAGTGGTTTCCTAATTTCAAGAGCCAATTAGGACAGGTCTCTATCAGTTATTGCACACCAGCTGCATGCCCTTGCTGAACATACGGTTTGGCATTTGTTTGGTTTCCTCTAGGAGCTGGTGTTGGGGAGCCTTTACTTAATTCTCCTTATGGTGATATATTGAGACAGCCTACCCAAAAAGGATTTCATTCTTTCCTACCAGCCTCTTTATCAGCCTCTGCTTCGACAAGATATTTCCTGCTGCATTCCATTTTTAACTTATTTTATAATCTCTGGTAACACCTCTTCTGATCTGTGAAAGTCTGGCAGCTGTTCATCACTGAGAGCAGGGAAGACAGGCAGAGATGTGATTTATAGGATAGGCAGAAGCTGCTCTGCAGCCTCCCTTGCTGAGATGAATCCTGAAGAGTGGAAAGGCAATGCCCAAGCCCTTTTCCTTTGCTGATATTAATTTTCCCATGTACAGAGCAGTGGAGACATAGGTGGGACAGCTCATTCTGGCACAACTGGTTGGACGAGGAATGTGCTCAGGAAAGGGGCAAAGGAGGCTCTTACTGCAAGGGCATTTGGTGAGGGTATGCATGCCAAGGAGGTTCTTACTGCAGGGGCATCTGGTGACGGTATTCACACCAAACAGGCAAGGATGGCAAGAGCTAAACAGCAGGATAATTTTTCCAACAATTTGCCTGTTGTTGGACCAGACAAGTGTCACACAACTGGAAGTTATGCCTGCGTGAGGTGAATTATTTGGTTCTTGGTGAAGGTTTTGCATATACTTCTCCTATTATCCCCATTCAGGCCTCAAATGTCCCATTTTTTAGTGATTGCTGCATAACAATATTTGCTTCCTTCCTCTCCAGTGGGGGATTTTCATGCTCTCCTGACTTGCCTCCAGTGACTTTCGCAGAGTTAAGCAGCTGCAGTGCTTAGAATGGGAAACTATTTCCCACAACAGGCACTGCTATCTGCAGTGCTGTATGTCAAGCATAACTGTTAGCCCAGTCCCAGTTTTCTGGCTCCCTCCAGATGTTGTGCAAGACAAGCCATAAAAACATGCTGGACATTTTATATGGAGAATAAGGGCTGTTTTTTCAGGAGAGCTGAGGGACGGGCTTCCCTGGTTTCCTGCAGTGCTGGACTCTATTGTAGTTTCTCTATTGTAAATCTTTTCAGGCTGGTTTAATAGTATCTTCTAGAGTGACAGTGTTGAGCTGCACCTGGAGAGGAAAGGTGCAGATTTGGTGTTAATGGTCTGGCTAATGGCCCGCTCCGTCCAGTATTTTGTTTGCTTATTTGATGTTCATTGTGGCCTTGGTAGCACTACTGACTGACTTTGTTATGCAGAAGAGTCTAAGTTTTTAATCAAACATTTACTTTATTTTAGTTTTGCTTGTTTCAGCACAAATGCATCTTGTAGAAGGTGACTTTTTCTTTTCCTTTAGCCTGAGCTGGGAGTAAAGACCAAGGACTGAGTGCTACTGGAGTTGGACCATTGTCCCGCATGGAGCTAAAATCCAGCTGAAATCCAGCTCTGATGGTAACAAGCTGTGTCACTGAAAAACTTCCTGAAAGCCACAGACAAACCGCAGCCTTCCTGCCAGTCTATGCCGGCCTGAATTTCATCTCCGACAGCTGGTACGAGTATTTGTGTCCTTTGCCTGTCTGCCAGTTGATGCCATCTGCAAAACTGTAATGAGCTCCATGGTGGCAAAAGCCTTTGAGGTTGGAGTTGTGGCACTGGTGGTACCACTAGGCACCTTTGTAGGTTGCAGCGCAGTTGTTAGCGTATGCATTGTTGTCTTTGGTCAAAAATGGCATGTTTTTGTGTTTGACCAATGAATCCCCTGTGGAGAAAACCAACAAGTCTTGTTAAAACTCCAACTTCCGTGTGTCACTAGAGCCCTGTCCTCACCACCATGGCCCGTCCATCCTGCGTGTCCTCTCTGGCCTTCCAGGAATGTGCAGTCCTCTGCAGCGGGGCAAAGTCCCTGCCCTCACACCTCCCCTTCCTCCAGCCAAGGGTGGTGAGGACCTGTTGAGTGAGAGTGGAGGAGGCGGTTTGGACTAGTG